GTACTGAAGGTAAATCTAAAACTTTTTGTTTTCTGAGGAAATAAAGATGTGACCTCTTCCCCAAGTTGATGTCTTGATACAATCACTTCTACCCAAGATAAAAGAGCCAATCCAGATTGAGGGCAGGAAGATGTTTATCTAAAAGGACAACACCTCTCATTCATGTGAAGTCTAATCTATATGTTAGCCTTGTATTCAAATCTCAGACAAATGATAAAAATAATTTGTTTTTCTTGACAAGATAAATGAAACCCATCTCTTGGATGTCACTAACAGTATTCTAACCTTTATTGGGGGTAATAATTCAAACATGATATTTATTAACGAAAATAATGAACATGTTCTTGAAATATTACCATTTGAATTAAGGCCTTATATACTATACAAGAACTCTTCAAGCAAGTTTTAAGAAAATATTTTATTTTTGATAACTTATATATTTTTATATATATATGAACAATATAGTGCTGATTGTGGGTAGAATAGTATTCATGGAATTAAAAAAAATGGTACTGGGTCCTCGAGACTTGCAGGTGGTTATGAGCTTCCAATTGTTGTTGTTAGAAACTGGAGCTGTTCCTCTACAAGAAAAGTATGTTCTCTGAACCACTGAGGTGTTTCTCCAGTACTTGGATGAGCAATCAAAACCTTTCCTGTCATGTTTTTTCCAGTTCTGTTCACAGAAGCCTAAATATGAAATTGAGCTGAATGAACGTGAAAGACATTTTTTGAGTGAAAGCTAGATACCAAGAGGACAAAAGGACTTATTATCAAGTGGAATCTGAAAAAAAAACTGACTTCAGGTTAAGTAACACTGAGGGAAGGCTGACCCTAGCTTTCACACTGTAGATTGATATGTCTAAACAGTTACATTGGGAAGATTATTCTAACAATGATCTGTATGGATATTGACCACAGTTAATATGATATTATGTTCTTCATATATGGAATGAATTGATCTTCTGAGATATCCCCCCAAACAATAACTGTGTAGTCACTCAACAGTGTACACATATGTGACAACATAATATTGGACAGGGTAAATAATGTTTCAAGTGTAGGACCATTACTAAAAATACAGGCAGAAGAGAAATAAATGCATTATGAACATCTCTCTGGTTATAAGTTATATCAAACCCTAGTGAGGTTTCTTCATAACTATCAACTATATAAATTTTTTATATTATTAAATTATAGAACCATTTGTTTATATTTAAAAATTTTAAAATGTAAACAATAATTTATTATATTTCTAATTATACTACTGTTAGATTCATAATTATATTGTTAATCAATCAACTTTTCAATTCTTGGACTTCTTCTAATCAATTACAATATTATAGAGATATCAATGCTTTTATTTTTTACCAAGTAAGAAAAAAATTACGAAGTCTATGACTCACTCAAACAAGTTTATAGTAAGAATAATTATAAAATGATTTAAAGTGGGAAAAGAATATAATATATTTGGAGCTACCAGGCACTGATGAAATGTATTTTCATGTCTTCTCTGACTGAACCAGGCTCAGCCACTTATTCTGGGACCATCTTCTGGACCAATAGGGAACTGGTGAGATTCTTCAGATATTTGTATAGGACCTATTAACAGGAAAATGTATACATAATTTGTTAAATAGTTATTTTCTCGAAATTGTATATTTTACAAATGACACCAAATTGATGGTCAGACAGAATTAAGGAAAGAACAGAATAGGAATCTATGTGCTCAATTCACACACTATCAGGACACATGTTATAAGAATACCTAGACATGGACGGAGAGGGGAGGTCCTAGGTCTTACCACAGGGCAGAAAACCCTGACTGCTCTTTAGTCTGGAGAGGGAGGGGGAAAGGAGTGGGGGGAGGGGAAAAGGGTGGGAGGAGGGGGAGAAGGGTGGGAGGAGGGGGAGGGAAATGGGAGGCTGGGAGGAGGTTGAAACTTGTTTTTTTTTCTCCTTTTCTCAATAAAAAAAAGAATACCTACTGTAGTGTTTTTGACCTTGAGATTGTGCATGTTATGATTCTACACTCACAACATCTAGTTATGATTTCCTTTATATCTCCCTAGAACAAATCCCTAGACAGTCAAAAGCAGACAAATTCAAGGGACTTTCCATGTTCTTAATTTTTCTCTTGTATTTAAGAGAAGGATACTTGTACTTTTTGTTTATTAATTTACTGACACTGATATGGATATGGGAACAGTCATTTGGGATATATTGTTAGAATCTCCATATCTTGTCATGGATATTTTTATCATAGTTTAAATGCTTAGAGTTAGAAAATCAAGATATTGGCTTTGATATATTTTAGGTCTAACCAAATTGTTTAAAACTTTCTCCATGTTCATTCCTATTTTCCAGCAGCCATGACCCTGGGTAACATGAGACAGAATAAGCTGCTTTCTGATTTGTGTGATTCAATTCATTGTTATAAGTCCTAATGTCAGGATTCTAAGAATCTAGACACTTCTGTATCTATCCAAACCTTCAAAACTCACTGCTGGTGTCACTGCAGCTGTCTATGATAAAACTGATGATAGAGGGGACAAGACTGGAGCTGACATCTGGTGAAACATGCACACTGGAGGCTGAGAATTTTGTGAGCTGAGGGTTCAGGACATACCTGCAGAGGAACCAATTCTTTGTATTTTGATGTGAAATGTAAATTTTACCAAGAAGGAAATACATAAAAATGTGAATTGTCAGAAACGATAATGAAGTGAACACTTCTAAGTCCCGGTGGTTTAGAATAAGAAAACAATGAATATTAAATTTCCAAGATGTTTTGTGAAAGGAACATTAATTCAGGCTACAAATAGTTTTTTCATCATGTCTACAAAAAATTCCATAAAATTAAAGATTACTATAAATTCCAAAGCATACTTAATGATCTTACGCGTAATCATTGCCCTTACAGTCTTCTTTTGAAATACACATTTACACACGCACACACACACACACACACACACACACACACACACACAAACACACAAAAAATGTATTGAATGGAATTAAATGGAAATGTATATGTAAATATATGTCACATATACAATTATTTGTCAACTGTCTGACAAGAAGAAGCAAATGTATAACACAAATGATTTGATTTGTGGGTATAATCCATTGGTTCTGGCTTGAGAACAAATAGGAAGCTTGTTAGGCTTCAACAGTTGAGGGGGACCTCAGCTGGACTTTTTTGACTGAAACAAGAATCCTCACATTTTAAAATTAAAGCAAGAGTTCATGCAGCATAGTCTATAACTTCCATAAATCTCAAGTGACCCCTAGTGGTCTTAGAACTCCTGTTGGTCCTTTGCATCCCCTCCTGTTTCCAAGTTTCTCTGAAGAGGGGCTTTCTGCAGGCTCACATTGGGTTTTCTTCTCTGTGTGTCAGTCACAGTAGTACATGTCTGTGTCCTCAGTTTGCAGAGTGTTGCATTTTAAGAAAACTTGTCTCTTTGCGATGTCCCTGCAAATGGTGACTCAGATACAGAGATGCACAGGTAGATGTACAAGGTGACTTTGACTGTGGCCCTCATTTTTGAGTTGAAGGAATATTAGGATGCTTTCAATTATGAGACCATAATGAAGAGAAAATGTCAGCTCCTCAACTCTCTGAGCTAGTGGGTTGCCAGCCCAGCTTCTGGCTTCTGAGTCTTTATTGGTAAATAGAACATTAGAGATTTAGTTACAAACTACATTTTGTTTTTTTTTTTATTTTTTTAATTTATTTATTTATTAAGGATTTCTGCCTCGTCCCCACATCCGCTTCCCATTTCCCTCCCCCTCCCCCGATCAAGTCCCCCCCCCCCATCTGCTCGAAGAGCAATCAGGGTTCCCTGACCTGTGGGAAGCCCAAGGACTGCCCACCTCTATCCAGGTCTCGTAAGGTGAGCATTCAAACTGCCTAGGCTCCCACAAAGCCAGTACGTGCAGTAGGATCAAAAACCCACTGCAATTGTTCTTGAATTCTCAGTATTCCACAAACTACATTTTGGGGAAGTGGCAGGTTTGGATGTGATTGACTGAGACATGGGCTGGTTAGTAACTGTGGAGTCACAATTACTATCTGAAACATCAGTAGCTACAAGTGTAGTCACTGTGAAGTTGTTAAAAGAACAAGTTTTTATTTTTATATACATGGAAGAAAAGAAGATGACAAAATTAAAGTCAATATGGCAATAACTAACAGTTTCAAATATATTTTAGATGTCAAATCAAGAATCATTAAAATCATCTTAACTTAAAACATGCAGAAGCTTCCTTGTTGAGAAAAGTGAGGGGGTAGCAATTACAAAATTCATAACCACAAAATGTTATATCTTGCCTGTTTAATAGAAACAGAATAAATTTTAGCAATGAGAATCCAAGCATTATATTTCACATTTTCTGGATAATTTGTCTCATGTGAATAAACAGGAATGTCTATAAAGTGTCTGAGAATCAGGAAAACATAAGAACTGGTGCCTAAACTTGACCAAATTGCAGCCCAATATTTATAGTATGGTCTTCTCTGATAAAGCCTGCAAATAGGACCCAGTGTCCACATCCTCCAATCCATTTTCAATACGAGTATTTCGATGCATTATGACAAATCCTGAGTTTCATGTCAGAGTGCCATGGGTTGTGGAAAGTAGGTGGAGATTTCAGGATTTTCCATTGGCAAGTTGCAACAAAGAGACATAGATGTTATCTCTGTTGCCCAGGCTTATGGAGTAATTGGAGTTTGTCTCACAGGTGAACAATAGCAACATGAAGATTTTTATATTTCATGTATCTGCTATATTTCTTTTAAATTTATTTGTAAATAAATTTAGCAGATATATGCCTTGGGCTTATTTTCAATACCATGGGATACAAAAAATATTGTATAAGAGATATTCCTTATGCCTGAAGACAGAGGATGAATGTGAGAGCCTGGAGAAAAATAATCCGCTAGAATGGAAAGCACAGTGACTAGGAGAGTCTGCTTCAATGAGAAAAAAAATCAGTCAATGTCAGTTCAATTGCAACAAAGGCCAGTGGCCCGTGAACAATGCAGTGAACTTATCAAGTGACCATAACTGTTGTAAATAAAAATGCCCCATGTTCACTAAAATAATCATAAGAGGCAATCATGAAAGGGGCTTCCTGGGAACAATGGATATTTTTTCCTGAGGTGTTTACTCACTTGAAAACTTAGCAAGATGCTGATATTTGAATGCACAAATTATTATATGGCCACATTAATTCAATAAATTAATTTACACAAATATAACCAATGTAACTTCTGTGCCCACTTTTATTTACGGAAAATTGCCATACTGAAAACAATTAAGTGAAAATTATAGAAATGTCATATCTACATTCATAATTAATTGTGGGTGTCTCTGTGAGATTCGACACCTCAGGCTTCACTTATAGAGAGTGCAGCAGTGAGAGACAGTAAAAGAGTGGCATATGGAAATAATCATTGGAATGCAATAATCTATTTTAATGGAAAATGTCATTTTCTTCGGATCCTCACATAGAAGGGAGAATGTTGGGCATGTGTTCTTGTATACAAAATGTTTTTTGGTTCTTGAACACCTTTACAGTAAAATAACAGAACCATGTTTCCTTTTACAAGGCACAGGGCCCATTTCTCTCCATCCCCATAACACTGTAGTTTCTTTCTTTCCTTTAGTAAATGGGTCTTGAATTATTGGTTACAAGCAACTTATCCTTTTGGCTTTAACTTTCATTTTTATGTTGATCAAAGATGCTTGTTTTATGCAACCTACTCTGCCCACATGCATTGGCCAAGTTGAAAGAACCAAAAGAGAGAATGGCATGCAGGAAAATGTCTGTTCATGAGGGCATTAGAGCTATGTGCTATCCTTAGACTCAAATTTCAGACAAGTGATAGTAATGAGTTATATTTGGGAAGAAAAATGAGACTGATCTCTTGGATGAGACAAAAAAGGTTAAAAATTAAACTATAGAGTATTCACATTCGGTTAACTCTCAACAGTGGATGAGAAAATGAAATATTTTGTTTTTAATTATGTATGTATGTTTCTGTGTGAGAAGTGTAGTGTGCATGGGGTCAAATAAAGACCATGGGTTCTCCTGAATTACAGGTAGGTATGACTTAAAATTGTGGGAGCCAGAAATTGAAACTGTTTCCCTGCAAGAACAGTGTGCTCTCTGAAACTCTGAGCTGCTTCCTGAATGTGCAAATGAGCGGTGGCAACCTTCCCTTTTATGTTTGTTACAGCTCAGTTCTCAACAGTTGAAATATCAAACCAATCTGCATGAACACGGAGGGCCTTTTATCAGTAACAGCCAGGCATCAAGAGGATAAGATGACCACTTAATCTGTGGAACTTAAAAAGCTCATCTTAGGAAAAGCAAAATTAAGGAAATCTGATCATAGTTTGGACAGAGTAGAGCGGGAAGATTAATCAGTTAGTTGGGAAGGATAATCCCAAATAATAAGTTATATGAAAGATGACCAAAGTTAATAAGAACATATCCTCTTTTCATATACAGAGAAAGACAGTTTTATAGTTAGACAGACCCAATATAACCAAATAACTATTTGGTTTTCCTGAGGAACACTGCTTATAAGTCTGATGGAAAAGTTAATTTTTACCAAGGTGCAAATGCACGAAATGGGATCTGTCAAAAGTAATAATCAATTTTATCCTTTTATGGTACCTTCTTGGTGTAGAAGGAATCTATGGGTATTTTAGATTCCAGGGTGTTGTAAAAAAATGACTTTAAATTAGGGAAGCTGTGGTTTATCTATCACAGTTGCAAAAACAAAGAGGACAAATTGCAGCTCTTTTAAAGTTCTCTAGCTTATAACTGAACCTAACATCAACAAGTGTCATAACTGCTGACTCCTTTAAAATATACTAAGATAATGTGTGAATATGTATGTATGTGTGTATATAAAATATATAAACTTATTTGTTATTCTATATAATAACAAGAAACAGATTGTTAGATTACAGGGCTTGGAGAAAAGCTATTTGTTATATTATTTGAAAAAATAGGAAGTTTATTATACTATGACTGTGAAGAGACACCTCCAGAGAATTTTTCCTTATCTGTGTTTGGAAAAGGAAAATACAGATTCTAATATTGAAACATTTGCCCATGCAGCATAGTCTAGAACTTCTTGTCTTATTAAGCAACCACATACTGGTCTTTGGAGACTCTGCTGGTCCCCAACGCCCCCTGCTGGTCGTGTCTCCATAGGAGGTTTTTGTGCAGGCTCACACTGGAGTTCTCTCACTGTGCTTTTGGCACAGTAATACATGGCTGTGTCCTCAGTTTGCAGACTGTTCAGTTTTAAGAAAATTTGGCTCTTGTAGGTGTCCCTGGTTATGGTGATTCGGGACTGGAGAGATGATTTATAGTCCCTGCTTCCACCATCCCATATTGCTCCCATCTCCTCCAGACCTTCTCCTGGAGGTTGGCAGATCCACCTTACACTAGAGCTGGTTAATGAGAACCCAGAAACAGTGCAAGTGAGTGACAGGGTCTGTGATGGCTGCACTAGGCCAGGTCCTGACTCCTTCAGCTGTATCTGGGACAGGGCACCTAGGGACAAGCAACATCACCATCAGTCATATAGATGAAAAACCAGGGTCCCATTCCTGAAACCCTGAAGCACTTACAGCTTGGAAATGTCACCAGGCAGAGGAGCAGCACCAGGACAGCCATGCTGTGTTGGAGACTCTAGTCAGAAGGAGATGGGGCTTCCCAGCTTGGCCTTGGATTTCATCCTGAGCTTGAGGACTGTTTTGCATTGGGGGAGGCCCCAGAGAGCATAAAAGGAAGCACAGACAATGTTTCCAATTTCTCCTCATGGAAACTGAGATTTTGTTTGTGCATCTTAGAGGTACTCAATATTGAACCTAAGGATCATTGCCGTGATGCTGTATGGATTTAATTCCAGAAAAACAGAAATATTAAGAGTCATACTGTACAGGCCTTAGAAGCAAAACATGGAATTGTTTACATTAACTAGGTCTACATTCATTTAGTGCAGGGACAGGAGGATACCAGGCTCTTAATAGATTTATGTATCTTTTTAACTTCCAATAGAGAATTTACATGATTTTGTTACTTTTGGTGAACAAAGATCCTGTTTAATGAACTACTTAATATTCTTTCCATTGGTGTCTGTGGAGTTCTCTCATTCTTATAACTTCTCAGGAAATAACTTGTGAGGAAGGAGCTCACACACATTTCTTTTTTTTTCCACACATTTGATACATGTAATTCCACATGTATATCTGTTAGGAAATCTGTGGGACTGATTTGGTTCCCATCTTATTAGGCTCACTTTCACCTTCTCACTTAAGAACACCCTAACTGGACACTAATTTCTGGTACTCTTGATTTATGTCTGTCTATCCATGTACTTATATATCTTTCTCTGTCACTCTCCTCAGCTTGTAGCCAATCTCAGGGTTATATTTTTTTCCTGTCACTCTACTCAGCTTGTAACCAGTCTCAGGTTCCTTAATATGATTGTTGCTTTGGTAAGTAATGGAAGATAAGCTACTTCATAATACTTCATAAAAACAACAGTGTCCACCCAGGTCTGAAGTTGATGTTCACTGAAGTAATAACAAGACAAAAAATGTCAAGTGATGACAAGAAGTAGACTGGAAGGCAGATATGAACTTGGGGAACCCTGTGACTTGAATCACGGCATAGACCTGGAAACAACCTAGATGTCCTTCAATGGAAGAATGGATGAAGAAAGTATGGAATATATACAGATTAGAGTACTGCGCTGTGGTAAAAAACAATGACTTCTCGAATTTTGCATGCAAATGGATGGAAATAGAAAACACTATCCTGAGTGAGGTAACCCAGACCCAAAAAGATGAACATGGGATGTACTCACTCATAATTGGTTTCTAGCCATCAATAAAGGTCACGGAGTCTATAATTGGTGATCCTAAAGAAGCTAAATAAGAAGGTGAACCCAAAGAAAAACATATAGTTATCCTCCCGGCTATGGGAAGTAGACAAAATTGCCGGGGAAAAAATTGGGATCTTGGGGGTGGGGTGTGATGGGGGTAAGGGGAGATGGGGAGAGAAAAGGGAGAAGGGGAGGATGGGGGGAACTTGGGGAAAAAGGATGATTGGGATAAAGGAAGGTTCGATAGAGGAGCAAGGAAGCACAATTCTTCGTTAAGGGAGCCACCTTAGGGTTGGCAAGAGACTTGAACCTAGGGTGGTTCCCAGGAGTCCAAGGCGATGTCCCCAGTTATTTCCTTGGGCAGCTGAGGATAGGGAACCTGAAATGACCCTATCCTATAGCAATACTGTCAAATATCTTGCATATCATCATAGAACCTTCATCTGGTGATGGATGGAGACAGAGACAGAGACCCACACTGGAGCACGGGGGACTGAGCTCCCAAGGTCCCATTGAGGAGCAGAAGGAGGGAGAACATGAGCAAAGAAGTCAGGACTATGAGGGGAGCACCCACCCACTGAGACAGTGGAGCTGATCTATTGGGAGCTCACCAAGGCCAGCTGGACTGTGACTGAAAAAGCATGGGATAAAACTGGACTCTCTGACCATGGCGAACAATGAGGGATGATGAGATGCCAAGGACAATGGCACGGGGTTTTGAACCTACATAATGTGCTGGCTTTGTGGGAGCCTAGCCAGTTTGGATGTTCACCTTCCTAGAAATGGACGGAGGGGGGAGGACCTAGGACTTACCACAGGGCAGGGAACCCTGACTGCTCTTTGGACTGGAGAGGCAGGGGGAGAGGAGTGGGGGGAGGGGGAGAAGGGTGGGAGGAGGGGGAGAAGGGTGGGTGGAGGGGGAGGGAAATGGGAGGCTGGGAGGAGGAGGAAACTTGTTTTTTTTCCCTCCTTTTCTCAATTAAAAAAAAAGTTAAAAAAAGAAAAGTCTGAATTCTTCAAACATTTTAAATGCAATATTCTGTAGGTATTTGTAGTATTGAACATGATGTATCTAACTTAAATATATCTCTGTACAGTCAGAAAAATCTAACATATCTATAGTTTGACTATTAAATGCGTATCTATTAATCCATAATTGCAGTTATACATTTTTAAGTGAACTGTATAAGTTCATTTAATTATCATATAACTGAACATGTACATTTCTGCTCCTGTTTAAGGTATTAAGGTATTAAGGTATTAAAACAGGAGCAGAAATATACATATAACAAAATTGTCCTCAAAATTATATTAGTAAACAAAAGTTCATGCCGATGTACAGTATTCATCTCTATATCACATTCCCCTTATTTTTTTGAGGAATTGACTGAGAACATTAATCATTTATAAGCAACTCCCTTTAAATTAAAATGAAATATTTATAAACAATCATATTGGGAATTTGTATGTAGTTTTCTTCAAAGTGCTTCCTATTGTTTGTTGAATGTAGTATTTTTAGGGTTCATGGAGACTTTTCGGGGATCTTGATCCATCAAACCACATTAGACTGGAAGGAACCTACAGGTCCTTAAGAGCATTAGCATAGTAGATATACCTACTACTAATGTTAATGCATGTGACCCATTCCAGTCCCTTTCCTGGAACCCAGCAGACCGAAAGCATTCCATAGCAACTAAAAGTGAATCCATAACTTTTTGTTTTCTCCAGAAACAAAGATATTACCTCTCACCCAAGATGTTGCTTTGATGCAATCACTTCTACCTGAACACATCGGCCAAGATCAAAAATCCAATCTAGACTGAGGGCAGGAAGATGCTTGCCCAAGAGCATAACACCTCTCACTCATGTGATGTCTAATCTATATGTTGTCTATTTTTTCACACATCTCAGATAAGTGATAAAAATGATTTTTTTCCTGAAAAGATAAATGAAATCTCTCTCTTGGATGTCACTAACAGTATCCTAACCTTTAACCGGGGGTAATAATTCAAATACAATATCTATTAAGCAAAATAATGAACATGTTTTTGAAATATTAGCACTTGAATCAAGGCTTTATATGCTACACAAGAACACTTCAAGCAAGTTTTAAAAATATTTTATTTTTAATAACTCATATATTTATCTGTACGGATAATATAGTGCTTGTAGTGGGTAGAATAGTGTTCATGGAAGTCAATTGAGGGTCCCGGGTCCTCAAGACTTGCAGGTGTTTATGAGCTTCCAGTTGTAGTTGTCAAAACTGAAACTGATCCTCTACAAAACATTATGTTCTCTGAACCACTGAGGTGTTTCTCCAGTGCCTGGATGAGCAATCAAAGCCTTCCTGTCATGTTTTCTTCAACTCTGTTCACAAAGAACTAAATATCATATTGAGCTGAATGAACTTGAAAGGTATTGAGTGAAAGTCAGATACCAAAAATAAAAAAGGACTTTTTTTTCAAGTGGAACCTCAGAAAACTAACTACAGTTTAAGTAACATTAAGGGAAGGTTGACCTTGGCTGACCCACTGTAGACTGAGATGTCTAAGCAGTTATATTGGGAGGAGTATTCTAACAATGAACTGTATGGATATTGAGCCCAGTTAATATTATGTTCTTCATATACAGAGTGAGTTGATCTTCTGAGATATCCCCCTCCCAAGCAAAAACTGTGTAGTCACTCAACAGTGGACATTTATTTGAGAACATAATGTTAGACAGGGTAAAGAAAGTTTCAAACACTACACAATTGTGTCAAACCATTACTAAAAATACAGGCAGAAGAGAAATAAACACATTATATGTATCTGTCAGATTATAAGTTATAACATACTCTAGTTAGGTTTCTTCATAAATATCAACTGTACAAATTTTTGTTTTACAAATTAAATGATAGCACTATTTGCTTATATTTAAAGTTTTTAAGATGTAAAAATAATTTATTATATTTCTAAAAATACTACTATTAAATTCATATTTATCATGGTAATCTATAAATTTTTCAATTCCTGGATTTCTTCTAATGAATTATAATACTTTAGAGGTATCAATGATTTTATTTTTTACCTAATAAACATTGAATAAATGGGACCTACTAAAACTGAGAAGCTTCTGTAAAGCAAAGGACACTGTCACTAAGACAAAAAGGCAACCTACTGACTGGGAGAAGATTTTCACCAACCCTGCAACAGACAAAGGTCTGATCTCCAAAATATATAGAGAACTCAAGAAACTAGACTTTAAAATTCTAATTAACCCAATTAAAAAATGGGGCACTGAACTGAACAGAGAATTCTCAACAGAAGAAGTTCAAATGGCCAAAAGACACTTAAGGTCATGCTCAACCTCCTTAGCAATCAGGGAAATGCAAATCAAGACAACTTTAAGATACCATCTTACACCTGTCAGAATGGCTAAAATCAAAAACACCAATGATAGCCTTTGCTGGAGAGGCTGTGGAGGAAGGGGTACTCTCATCCATTGCTGGTGGGAATGCAATCTTGTGCAACCACTATGGAAATCAGTGTTTCAGTTTCTCAGGAAATTCGGGATCAACCTACCCCTGGACCCAGCAATACCACTTTTGGGAATATACCCAGGAGATGCCCTATCATACAACAAAAGTATATGCTCAACTATGTTCATAGCAGCATTATTTGTAATAGACAGAACCTGGAAACAACCTAGAGGAACCTCAATGGAAGAATGGCTAGAGTGATTTTCATGCATTAGTGGCGGTAGTAGTTCCAGCTACTATGTTGATGCCATGAAGATCTGATTCGCC